CCCCCGAGCGTGCGGTGAAGCCGGCAATGCCCGGCGGGAGCATAGGCTTAGCCTCCGCCGCCGCTCCCTGGGGGGTTAATCCTTTCGATGCCAAAAGACGTGCCTTGATCCGCTCGCTGGATCTGCCCAGAGAGGTGGAGGGGAAGGTGGGGAGTGGCCGGAGCGCGTGTGTGGGTGCTTGGGTGCGTGGGTACCCGCGTGTGCGTGGGGGCACGGCCGGTGTGTCCCAGCGGCAGCCCGGGCTCAGGGAGCACTGGGGACAGGGCTGGTGTCCCCTCGGGGACGAGCCCCCAGCTCCAGTCCGACCGTGAGCGCTGAGCACAGCGTCTGGGAGCTGCGCTGCTGGCAGAGAGAAATCAAATCACAGGCGCTGCCGGGAGGAGGGCAGACATCATCAATCCCACCGCCCGCATCCCGAGGAACGGTGCTCCTCACAGCCCCGCTCCCCCGCCAGCCTCCACCCTGTGTAGGTTTGGCATCAGTGGGATGCCTGATTTGCAGAAAGCCCAGAGGACTTGGGGCTGAGCCCCCTCGCCATCTCGCCTCTCTGGTTAGCTCTCTGTCTAAACTGGTAAGAGCCAGCCCATCCTTGATCACCTTGATGATGGGTTTAAACTGGTCTGGGTTCCCTACAAGCGCATCTCCACATCCACCTTGGCAATGGGATTTCACTGGATGCTGGCTTGGTTTGACGGCACTGAGGCTTATTTAAAGAGGAGAAAGAGGAAATCTTAGAGAGGGAAAACCATCTTTCTATATTTGGAGGTGAAAATAAATCACAGCTCCGTTTTTCACATCTACTTTTTCTTTGGTGCAACTTCCCCATGTAAGAAATAGCTGTCATGAGGGCAAGGAAATCACCACATAAGGCCTGAATGCAGCCAAATAGAGCTGCTGAGAAATAATAACACAAGATTAACTTTTTTTTTTCCTGTGTGTTACCAGCCAGCAGCAATCCTGCCAGCTGCCTGGGGGTTGGAGTGGCACACAATAAAATGGCAACTTCTCTCCCTCGCAATAAAATCACCAGGGTTTGGGTAGGTGATGGACAGGTTGTACAGCCCAGAATAAAAGAAAATGTGGAGGACAAAGCTTTTCTGCCCCACTTGGAGCACGAATGGACCAAGTCACAGTGAAGTCTGTTCCCCAGAACCGTTTTAAAGACTCCCGAGATTTCTTCACATGAGTGACAGAGCTGTGGTTGGTTACAAAAACACATCTGGGCAGCTGCATGGTGACATATCCTGCAATGGGACATGTCCTGATGACCCTCACCCCAGCACCATGATTCCTGGTGTCAAGGCTGCTCCTCTGCCTCTGGAGCATAACATCCATAAGGATGTTTTGGGAGCCAGGGCAGCAGCCAGGAGCTAAGGGAAAATGGCTCCTGTTGCAGACTCTGAGTCCTGTCATGCCAGATTTTATCCTTCCAAGAGGGAAAACGTGGCAAGATTATATTTTTTAGAGAAACTCTTCAGTGCAAGGAGAGTTTTGGGCTCCATGCAGGGGTACCACAGTGCCCTCTGGCTTTGCCCTACTCTGGAGACACCTCTTTGGCTGGGATCCCCAGGAGAAGAGGACAACCCCCTGGACATCCCTGCTGGTCCTTGGGGACCGAAGCTGCTCTGAAGCTGTATTTTCACCGCAGCTGTTTGGTGTTAGCAGTTGCCATGGCACCAGTGCATCAACTGGAGGGAAAGGGATTGTGTCTGGGCTGGGCTGAGCCCTCCCTGTGGCTGGTTCTGGTTGTCACCATCCCAGGTGGCATCCCACGATGCTGTCCCCTTTCATTCCCAGGAGCTGAGCAATCTGGGGCAAAGTATTTGCAAAGGTGTTTGTGCAGGGGTGGGGGTTAATCAGAGGAACCAAGGGCAAAGGGTGATGCTCTAGCTCTGGAGGTCTTAAGGTCCTCACCACCTTCAAGTGCTTTGATCAGACCTGGGCTATTGTCCCTGGGGAGCTAGGTCAAGGTCTCTGTCCTGTGTGACATGAGTCAAAACGGCCAAACCAGAGGAATTCAGTGTAAGCAGTGAGGACCAGCCAAATGAATGGCTGAACAGAGTTGCAGGTAGGAAACGGCTTCCCCACCTATAAACTCAGGCTGAAAACACCCCTTTCCTTCCTGCTGTACCATCAGCCGACTGATTTTTTATTCTCATTTAACAACAAAGGAAGAATGTACTGAGATCTGGCTGACACCTTTCCTTCCTCACTGCTTCACAAGTGCTGGCCGAAGGAGCTGTGGTGCTCGGGTGTTTCTGAGCCCGGGCACCCCACTGAGCTGGGGCCATCAGGGTTTCACTGCACCCTTGAAAGCTGGGACCCCTGGACACCCCCTCACAGAGCCTGCCCACACTTCCCGGTGGTCCCGGCAGTCAGGGGCTCACAGCACAGCTGGCACAGCCCCATGTCCCATGCCTCCTACCCGTCTCTCTGGAAAACGCTGTAAATCAGCACATCAGAGGATGGAGCAAACCACTGTCTGGTGGCTCTCTGCTTGCATGGGGACAGCTGGTGACAGTGGCCCAGACCTTGCTCCAGTGGGATGGGATGGGGGGCAGCTCCCATCAGTTTCCTACAGCTTCACTGGGCACTGCTGGGAAGCGGGTGGAAAAGAAAGACTTGGGGGAGCTTTGAGGTCTGCTGCATTCATCTGAGGTCACTGAATTCATTAAAGGGGCTTAGGGTACTACCAAAAAACCCCCAAACCCTCCACCTTTCACATTTCCCTGCAGTGAAAGTAGAGTTGGTCTCTTTCATTTTCATTAACACCCATATCCATTCAAAGTGACTAAATAGATGCTTAATTGTTCATTACACACCCTCTGCATCTCTTGTCTGAAAGCGATGCTTTATTTCCACGATTACAGTTTCCATCCCATTACAGAGGGACAGAGCATGGATAAATAGAAAAATGTGGATTTTAATAACCTTATATTTCAAACTCTCTGTTATTAAAAAAAAGTTTGCATTTGCTGTGATGGGGGGAAGATTAAAAGGATTGCCATGGATTCCACTTAGGGAACACTGCTAATGATTTCAATAAATCACTTTAAATAAAAATCACAATCTCCACAATTCCACTCAAATGCCATTTGGCAGAGGGGTTGATTATGGGAGCAAAATGAATTTCAGAATTAGCTGCTTGTCCTGATGCAATTGGACAAATTAAATTCAGGGATACATGCATATCCAATGACACACATACCTCATGCAGAAGAGATGCAGTTTTGGCCCCTGGGAACAAGAACAAACAATGTTTTAGTGGGTCAACAAAGATCTTGTCCCTCATGATGGATGTTGAGTGTTTATTTCAGCTATTTCCATAGTATTTTTATTTTATGGCTTACTCTCTATGTAGCTCCAGTCACAGCACTGGTGTTTTATTTCCATACAGGCAGGATCAAAGTGACTACTGGGACGTGCCTTTGATAATGCCAATGTCCATACAGAGCTGCAAAATCCCGCTGTGACACATTGCGAGCGATGTCCTGAGCAGACAGCCTGGTTTCTTGTCTGCGACTGGGACCAGACCCTGGGGTTTCCACAGAAAGTGAAGCCTGGGGTAGTCCTACAGCCCAGGTGCTTCACCAGGGCTAGAGATCTGACACTGGATATGGAAGCATCAGTCTGTGGGTATGGCAACAACTATCAGCTGCAGACTGAGCTGTAGGGGTGGGGAGCAGTGTGGGAGTTCATCACTGTGAAGTGTGTTGTGGCATAGGGGGTGTTGTGTCTCACCCTGGCCAAGAGCTATCTAGAATTTGCCTGAGAGTATAATCAAGAGGTGCAGCTCCAGCAGCAATACATCCATCCATGCTTTTAGGCAAGACATTTATCTGTCCAAGGGTCGTTTTTCAGTCTTGAGGGTTGGGGTTTTCTGTATCTCTTCTACACTGGCTGCTGACACCTTCCCCTGATCCCCACTGAAGATGGGACCCCGGATGGGTGGGATGCTCTTC